GTGTGTGTGTGTGTGTACTTGTGCCTAAGCTGCTGATGCTGCTGCTGCTGCTGCTGCTGAGAAAGCCAGAGCTGCTCTCTCTCCTATGGTGCCGGTGAGTGGCAGAATAGGGCCCGGCCAGTGACGACGTGCGCGATACCCAGAGCAAACAAAAAGGGGGTCTGGAAAAAGCCAGAGAGGAGGAGAAGATGGTGACGGTGGTTTCTCTTGGGCCAGGTCGTTGGCAATGGGAAATATCTCGGATGGAAAAAGTAGTGATTTTTGGTTGTTGGTGGCCCGTTCCAGTCTTGTTGCTGAGATGGCCGTTGCTGGCAGGGACCGAGTGGAGCAGGAGGGAGAGAGAGAGAGAGAGAGGCTGACGGTCTTCCGTTGGCCTGCAATTCTGAATTTTGCCTGCCGGGGGACCCTGTCCACGTCCACGTCGACGACGTCTGATCTATATGGGCGGGCTATTGTTCCGTTCTGCGGGCGAACGAGGGGTGAGTAAGTGATAAATAGTGCAAAGTAATGTAGGGCAAAGCAAGGCAAGCAGATTAGAGTAGAGTAGAGGAGAATTGACACACGGCAAGGCAAGGCGAGGCAAGGAAGGCACGGCAACTGGACCCCCTTTGGGATGGTTCCTTCCTGGACTGGCATTGGCTGTTAGTCTTTCCGAGCCAGCCACGCCGACTCGGTGAAGGTGAGAGACAAAATAAAATAAAATAAAATAAAAGGGGGTACGTACCTCGCAGTTCTGGTGGTTCAGTCAGTCGGTCCTCCTAGGGTTGCCTTGCCTCTGTAATGTAATGCACTGTCAATGACCTTACAGCACGCTCACAGCTAAGGCAGGTACCAAGTCTTGTGTCTGAGTGCGCACGAGTCCCTCCGGAGCAAGGTCGCTTATAGGGGCTACAGCTGTGCTGTTCACTGGGAATAATTCCAAAGTGTCCTTCTGCATTCAGGTAGAGGTGCCTGCCTACATTTCTTAGGTAATCAAAGATTGCCCCTGGGAAGAACACCAGGTCAAATGGTCGGTCACTTCAGACGGACACGACTAACCCCACACAGCACGCTTTTTTCATTTACAGCCGGGGTCGGCAGCCAATGAGAGAACACGGCTCTCTCCTCTTCCCAATCAGGACTAGCCCCCTTTCTTTTATCTTCTCGACCTGATGCATGGCTCCGTCCGTCCCTGATGATGCAAGTCTCCAGCTGCCATTTGGTCTCTGCTGACTGCGCGCAGCTGTGCGACTCCCTCAGATACGTAGGTAGTGAGTGTACCATACTTCAGCTCCCTAAGCGTCTTTTTGGATGGGAAGCAGTTCAGCATGTTCCATTCCTTCAACTTCAACATCGGCTGTGTGTAATCTCAATTATAGGTATTATCTAGAGCTGTACATACATGATATCTCTGCGTCGTGCCGGCATACATCGTCCTCGTTGTTCCGACTTTGACTGTCCGAGTGGCTTTCCCCATATCTATTGTTAGGTACATACTTCAACATCTTGTTTTAAGAAGCCGTGTTGGTCCCTAGCGTCGCCTGACTCAGCTCCTACCTAGGTGTCCTTCTACAGGTAGGTAGTAGGTACCTAAACCATCTGCCTGCCTGCCTACCTACCTACCTACCTAGCTACTGTAGGTACTACTACTCACTGTACAACTTGCTGCACGTATGTACCTTATCTAACGGGCGCCTCAAAGCTGCCGCACCACAGCTTGTGACGTCTGCCCCGCAAGTAACAACTTCATCACCACATCAACACGTCGACACTACCCACCCGCCATGGCCTCCAAGAAGACCAAGTCCGCCACCTCTGGCGATGATATCGACGACCTCTTCGAGGGCATCGGCGACAACGCCGCCCCCAAGAAGTCGCTCGAGAAGAAGTCCAATAAGCCCACCACCGCCGCCTCCAAGGCCCTGGCCGACCAAGACATCTTGGCCGAGCTCGAGAAGGACCTCGAGCAGCCTTCCCGCCCGCACACGCCCCGTCTTAAGGAGTCGGCTGCCAAGGGAATCCCAAAGCGCTCCGCAACCCCCACCATCGACGACAAGTCTGCTGCCGCGCCCCGCAAGTCCACCGACAGCGCCCGATCCCTCCGCGCGAGCTTCACCCCGAGCGCTACGAGCTCCGATCTACAAGAACCCGACAAGAAGCCCGCCGAACAGTCCGCTCCCACCCCATCGGCCGCCGTGCCCGAGGCTGCTGCCCCCGCCGCTGGGGGCGGGGGTGGTTGGTGGGGAGGCATCTTCAACACCGCGACCGCCGCCATGAAGCAGGCAGAGGCTGCGGTCAAGGAGATCCAGAAGAACGAGGAGGCCAAGAAGTGGGCCGAGCAGGTGCGAGGAAACGTTGGTGGACTCAGGGCTCTCGGTAAGTACCTACCTACCATTGGGGCTCGTATCGTGATATACAGGCTTCAAGGGCCGTCGGCGACTGGTGAGCGCAATCGGTTGCTGACGACGACCTTTGTTCAGGAGACAACCTCCGCCAGCAAGCACTCCCGACCTTCACCAATATCCTCCATACCATCGCTCCTCCCATCAGCTCCCACGAACGGCTGCTCATCCACATCACCCACGACATGGTCGGGTACCCTTCGCTCGACCCCTTGATTTACGGCACCTTTTCGCGCGTCATGTCCCAGGTGGAGGGCGGCGAGCTGATGGTTATCCAACGCGGCCAGGAGAACACCAGCCGCAGATACTCCAATGACAGCGGCGCGGGCTGGCGAGACGGCCCTTGGTGGAGACAGTCCGACTCTCCTAGAGACCTCGGCTTGATCAAGGGACTAACCGAGGGCACCAAGCTTTGCCGTGCTGGCGCCGAGGGCTACGCCAACGAGTACTTTGGTGCCCACGGAGGAATCGAGCAGGCCAGGGTGCGGGCCACCGAGCCCTTGAGCGAGGATAACCCCGTGCGCAGCTCCGACCTGTTCCTTGCCGTCCAGGCGGTGGTCACCACGTCCGACTCGGCCCTCTTTGCCCACACGGCGGCTGTCGAAAAGGAGAAGGAGGCCTCGACCGTAGCCGAGCAGGACGAGGCGGACGACCTGGTTTGCTTTGCCGTCTTCTGCTTGGACCCAGTGCACGAGATCGAGTTCTCGACCATCAGCCAGTCCATCCCGGCCAAGTGGATCCGCTGGCTGGACGCCTCCAACCCGCTGACCCCCGCCAGCGGCGAAGACGGCCAGGAACCCTCTTTGAACCAGTCCATTCCCGACGAGATCCGCGAGATTGTTGAGAGCGGTGGCGTTGACCCCCGCGAGTGGGTTGCCGAGTGGATCGAGGAGCTGCTGAGCCTCGCCGTCGGCATCGTTGCTCAGAGATACGTCGCCAGGAGGATGGGGGTCGGTGAGGGAGGCATTGGCAAGGGCAAGAGGAGAATGGACGATCTCGTCCAGGACGGCGGCGGCGAGGCGGCCCGGGCCGGCCTGATTTGAAGAGCGACTTCGCCTGGGATTGTGTGTGTGAATGATTCTGTTTGGGTGTTCAGGGTATACCGCTTCCTTAATCCATATCGTAAACAACGGACGGCTCTGGACGCTGCCATCAAAGTCCAACGGTCCAATCATCTTGACCTGTTGCATGTCCTCAGATGATGCGCAATATCTACTTGGGTGACATGCCGTTCCCCTCGATGACTAGCTTGGAAGGACCATGGCACCTGGGCCCAGGCCCTTTCCCTTTCCCTTTCTCTGCGCTACGCAGGAACATACGCAAGGAAGTGGAATGCTTCTTGGATCTATATGGGTTTTCAATCTCATGTTATCATAAAGGGGGATGTCATGTCATAGACGCTCTCCCATCTCCATTTTCCAGCATTTTGTTGAAGTTCACGTGAATTGCAATACCCGCTAGCCTGGCTGCTTGCTGGCTTTGACCGCCCTGTCCATGGCAAATCGACTTACACGGCACGGATGCCCAGCCGGCGCCAGGTGCACGTGCCGTGTCCCCACATCATTTCACGTTCCATCCCCGAAGATCCCACCCCCGGTTGTCAGGGGTTCGTTCAATGTCCATTCCCCTTCCCCGGCTTATGTAATATGGGTTTCTCGCGCCGTAAAAATCCAATGAGAAATTTTCCTTCTGGCTGCCAGCCACCTTGCTTCACTTCACACACACCAAACACCGCCGACCATGTTGCGTGATCGGTACACAAATTATGGCAAGCGCGGTGACGTTTTGGCAAAAAGACACAGGACAGCTCAAGTGAGCCTCGGCAGGAGGATATCCCCTTCCCCTCGTTGGAGGATTTGGCATTATTCAGTGCCCAATCTATCCTCTGATCTCTGCCGCGATGCTTACACCGGCACACCAAGCCATCATGTAACGCCACGCCATGCCATGCAATATTGTCATGAGTAGGAGCAAAGGCCAAACAAACCAGCAGCATCTACCCCAGTCACTCGGGCTTCTCACGAGTCTTCGCTTCGGCGGGGGTCTCCTTCTTGTGCCGCGTTCTGCGGTGCACTCTGGAGAGGACTGGAACTACCACTTGACGGAGAGTAAGAACTGGTCGCGTTCCGCGTCCCTTTCCCTTTCCTGGCTGCGAGAGAGAACAGGACCATCATAGTCCACGCCCATCTATTTTTACCTACATGGGCGAGGCTCCAGGCGTACCGACATAGCTTTTTCATCATTACCTGTTGTATTTTGATATTTTTTGGCGGTTTTGAAATCTACTGTGCATGACTGTGCTGTCGAATATATGTGAATGGATGATACGGATACAGAACCCGTGACATGGTATCGGGTGCCCAGCCCACCCGTGCAAGGCCCTGCTGGGACCTCCCGAACGTTGGAGAACTCGGAAAGGAGAGATGAAGAAACAAAGAAAAGGTTCGCATCAACCAGTCCCGAGACCCAGTTTCGGTGGTTCTCTTTTGCGGATTGGTCCACGCAGTATGCGGGCGCTGTTGTCAGTCCGTCACCCTTTTCGTTTTGCCGCATTCCTCGAAGGGGACGTTGACGTCATTTTCCAGTCAGCGCACTCGCTTGTACACTACACTAGGTATTAGGTGTTGCTACCATCTTGCATGTGCGCACTATTAGGTAGGCAGGCATGTGTATGTAGTTTAGCTTGTAGCATTTTAGTGTTTCCTTCTGCCGAGAACAAAGAACATATTGGAAGCCCAAAGGTTCCATCCCACATCCAGTGCCGTCTATCCACGTCTGCATGCGCTTCCTGTCACGTCGTGTTGAAAATCGACCATCGTGCAACTTGACGACTTCCCCCTTAAAGCCAAGCTCAGCACCACTTGTTTCGCTCCTGACGCCATCCCGGAGATCCCTGAACCATCTTCGCAACGCCATCGACTTGTCGCTTACACTCGCCCTGCCCATCACACACCATGGCGCTGAACAAGGACCACAAGGGCTCAAAGTTCTCCCAGTTGCCGCTGAGCACCAGCGGTCCCATCAGCTGCGCCGTGACCGGCACCGCGTTGCTCAACACCCCCTACCTCAACAAGGGGACTGCCTTCCCAGAAAATGAGCGTCGAGAGTTCAACCTCACCGGCTTGCTGCCACAGTGTGTTGATACCCTGGAGCAGCAGCTGCACCGCGCCTATGAACAGTACAAGTCGCGGCGAGACGATCTTGCCAAGAACACGTTTCTGACTTCGTTGAAGGAGCAGAACGAGGTGCTGTACTATCGGGTATGTTGTGTCCGTCGTGGTTCACGGAAAGCATGTTTCGCGGGGTCTGACGGCCAAATAGCTCTTGCAAGAGTATCTCCCTGAAATGTTCAGCATCGTCTACACCCCGACCGAGGGAGACGCCATCCAGAACTTCTCCCGCCTCTTCAGGAGGCCTGACGGCTGCTTCCTCAACATCGAGGACATTGACCGCGTCTACCACGACCTCGCCCAGTGGGGACGGCCAGAGGATATTGACTACATCGTCGTCACCGGTATTATCCATTGCCTCCCAGCATCCAGATAGACACTAATAATATTTCAGATGGCGAAGAAATCCTTGGCATCGGCGACCAGGGCGTCGGCGGCATCTTGATCTCAGTGGCAAAGCTTGTCCTCACGACGCTTTGTGCCGGTGTGCACCCCAATAGGACACTGCCCGTTGTGCTGGACTGCGGTACGGACAACGAAGAGCTCTTGAACGACGAGCTCTACCTGGGTCTCCGCCAGAATCGCGTTCGAGGACACAAGTATGACCGTTTTGTCGACGAGTTTGTCAAAGCTGCTAGGAGATTGTACCCGCGCGCTTATATACACTTTGAGGACTTTGGTCTCACAAATGGTAAGTCCTATCTGAATCTCTATATAGATTCCAACTAGTATTAATGCAACCGCGAATCAAGCACGGAGAATTCTGGACCAGTATCGCCCTCACATCCCATGCTTCAACGATGATGTGCAAGGAACAGGCTGTGTTACGCTCGCCGCCATCATGGCTGGGTTGCACGTGAGCAACCAGAAACTCTCCGACTTGCGTTTGGTTGTCTTCGGCGCCGGGTCGGCTGGCGTCGGTATTGCAGACCAAGTCAGGGATGCCATTGCCGCCGAGAGAAACATCGGCAAGGAGGAGGCGGCCAAGCATATTTGGTAAATTGCGACATTCTCAAATCTGAACCCCTTTGCTAATTAACCTCTTCCTAGGCTGCTCGATAAGCCCGGTCTGTTGACGACAGAAAGCGAGTTGTCGTCAGCCCAGAAGGACTATGCGCGAGACTCATCTGAGTGGAAGGGCAAAGATGGTTCCCTCCTCGAAGTTGTCAAAACCGTCAAGCCCAACGTGCTCATAGGCACCTCCACCAAACCCAAAGCCTTTACCGAAGAAATCGTCCGAGCTATGGCCGAGGGCGTCGAGAGGCCCATCATCCTCCCGCTCTCCAACCCCACACGCCTGCACGAGGCCGTGCCCGAGGACATTTACAAGTGGACCGACGGCAAGGCCCTCGTCGCGACGGGGTCGCCGTTCAAGCCTGTCAAGGGACCCTGGGGCGAGGGCGGTAAGGAGATTGAGATTGAGGTGGCCGAGTGTAACAACTCCGTCGTCTTTCCTGGCATCGGTCTGGGCTCCGTGCTGTCCCGCGCGAGACTGGTCACGGACAAGATGCTCGTGGCAGCTGTTGAGGGCGTCGCGTCGCTGAGCCCCGCTTTGAAGGATCAGAAGGCGCCCCTGCTGCCCGGCGTCGATGTCGTTAGGGATGTCAGCGTGAGGGTGGCGAGAAGGGTGATCAAGGCAGCCGTTGAGGAGGGCGTCGCGATGGAGGAGGGCATCCCCGACAACGATGTGGACTTGGACGAGTGGATCCAGGAGCAGATGTGGCAGCCCACCTACCGGCCGCTCAAGCTTGTCGAATTCAGCGAGGCAAGTAGGGAGGCCAAGGGGGAGATGAAGGTCGCGGGCAGCTTGGCCAAGGTTGGAAGCTGGTAGAGGATGTCGTTCAGTAATGAGCACGCCGCCAACTTGTCTTTACGGTACTTTGAGACATGAAACCAATTCGAATTACAGCAGGTTCGTATACGTAATACAGCGGCAGGATCTACAGTTTCCCATCCTGGCAATTATGCCTCACCGACCCGAATAACATTACAACTGTGTCACAACAAGTAACTATGGTATTTTTGAGCTTGCTATCTTGGCCTTCTAGGGGTAATATCAAACTTGCATTATGCAACGCTGGATCAAATTTTATTTCCATACATTGAATAGGTACAGCGCACATAGAAACCTAGCCATCATATGCAGAAGATCATGATCTAAGAGTTTCTGAGCAAAGATCAGAATAAAAAAACCTATTCCAAATCAGTAGTATTAATCTCGTTGTAATAGATAAAAGTAGGTTTAGTTGTGTAGTCTCACAAGTTTTTTATTCATAGTCAATTAAGATTGTACACGGATGGGTAAATGTGTATATATACGTATATACAATGGTAGAAATTAGGGCTCATTTTAGAGAAAAAGAAGAAAGAAAAGGAAGAAAACAAAACAGCAAAACAGCCGGACAAGAAATTAGCTGGTTAAAGAGACTCGAGTGAACATGACCAACCGCCAAGCCGCCGTACCTGAGCCATTATAGAACCGTTTACACGTGACCCGGAACCTATGGCTTGACAAACGTGCTCCCGCCAAGGCCGCCGTTGCGGGTTATGTAACAAGCACCACAACCGGTGAAATGCTTTCTTTTTTTGTTGCACCCGTTTTGATGTTGTAGTGCCCCTGCTCGTTGTGCTGGTGTAGCCGCTATGAGTTTGCTGTGCCGATCTGATTGGAATGCTTCATTCCCAGGCTTATCGACGTTGTGAAGCGGCGGTGTTTAGCTTAAGAAAACCTTTGCAAGTCGGTAGTAAGTCCATGAGAAAAAGAAGAAGAAAATAAGGAAAAAATAGGAAAAAAAGCTATCCGTCCAAATAGAAAAGTAGCCGCTCAAGGGGGAAAAGAAATCAAGACTTTTTACTCCTCCATCCACACTTTCTTCTTCTGTTTTATTGACACCCAACACTTCGTTCGCGAATAAACTTGACAATAATTGATATCATTCTTTTTATTTCTATCTTTTTTATTTCTATCTTTTTTATTTCTTTCTATTTTCTCACCGACCATCTACAGCCTCACTGCTGTGACAGGTCGACCTTGCTCCACCAGAACTCCGACTCGGTCCTCGCCCACGTGTCGGGGCACAGTCTGGCCGGGGCCCCCGGCGCGCCGCCGACGAGCTCCTTGTTCTCCTCCGCGAACACCATCGCCTTGGGGTCGTCGGCGACGTACCTCTCCCACGCTGGCCTGTCGGGGCTGCTCTCGCCGCGGACGGCGCTGGGGTCGCCGGCCACGACGAAGCTCGTGAGGTAGGCGTTGAGGGTGAGGCACAGCTCCCGCTGGGTGGGCGAGAGGTCCATCTTGGCCGGCTCGCACGTCTCGTAGGACATGTTCTCGCCGTGGCGGGCGCGGTCGAGGAGGGAGCTCTCGAGCGCCCACTGGTACAGGTAGACGGGCTCGGGCGAGGCGCGCGACGCGAGCTCGGCGGTCTGCCGGACGGGCGCGACGTAGGCGTACTGGCCGTAGGCGACCTCGAGGCGGCGGTACTGCGCGCCCGTGCCGTCGAGCTGCTCCTTGTACGGCGAGTCGGCGACGGTGAGGGGGTCCGGGTAGAGCCTGTCGATGGCCTCGACGTCCTCCTTGGACAGCAGCGGCAGCAGGTCGGCGAAGAAGCGCGTGAACTCGTCCGACGCCGACACCTTCTTGTTGATGTAGATGGACCCCTCGTTGCGGTTGAAGCCAGTCATGACGGGGACCTTGCGCCACTTGCCGAGCCGCCAGGACTCCATTGGGGGCCGGGGGATGATGTTGCCGTCGATGACGGGCTGGAAGGCCCACCGCAGGGAGGGGTTGTACTTGTCGAACACGGCGATCTGGGCCCTCTGCACGACCTCGGTGGGCACGCTGCGGAGGTGGGCGAAGGTCCCGGCGGCGGAGAGACCGGGCGGGCAGCCGGTCTCGGTGAGGAAGTCGGCGAACTGGGCCTCGTGAACGGGGGCGCTGTAGGGGCGGACGGCGCGGGACGTCGGGGCGCCGGACTCGAGGACGACCTTGTGGAAGAGGGGCGGATCGTATTGGCCCTCGTCGTGCATCAGGATGTGGCCGATCTGGGGGCGGGGTGGGTGACTTGGTCAGGGTTCGGTGGTCTCACAGAGGGGGGGGGGGGGGAGAGGAAGGGCTTGGGCAACTTACCGAGTGTCCTCCAGCCGAAATTCCAATGAGGGTGACGTTGTTGGGGTCGCCGCCAAAGGCCGCGATGTTGTTGCGCACCCACTTCAGCAGGAGGAGCTGGTCCTTCAACCCCAGGTTGAGCACGCCCTCCTCGAAGCTCATAGTGGACGGGAGGAATCCCAGCGCGCCAATGCGGTAGTTGAAGGTGACGGTGATGAACTCCTGTCCCGAGTGAGCCAGGAACGAGGGCGAGTTGTGCATCATCGCCGTGCCCCTGTTGAACGCGCCGCCGTGGATGTGCACGGCGACGGGCAGCAGCGGCTTCCCGGCGGCCTCGGCGGTGCTTCGCGGCGGCCGGAAGACGTTGGCCGTCAGGCAGTCCTCGCTATACTCGTACGATGGGCCGGTGAAGAGCTGCTTGCCGGGGGCGACGGCGCCCCATTTCGAGGCGTCGATGGTCTCGGTCGAGGGCTCGACCTTGACCGCCGCGCGGAACCTGCGGTCTCCCGTCGGTGGGAGCGCATACGGGATGCCCTTGAACGCCTCGACCGGCCGGGGGAGGCCGTCCGTCAGTGTCACACCGACGACGGTCCCTTGCGTGAGCGTCACGGACGGACGGGCGTCTTCAATCGTTGATCCCATTTTGCTTTGGTGGTTTATTCCCCCCAAGTCTTCCGGCTTCAAAATGAGTGTATTCGTCGTCGAGGCAGAGTTGAGAGAGAGCATTCGCCAAGGAGGAGGGGGAGGAGTGAGGGGGGTTACAAACGATGTTGTTATCGATAGTCGGGAGATGAACCCATACCGGCCCGCCGAGTCGTTTCAAGCAAGCTTCGAGCTGTCGACTTATCGGGCAAGCTCTGTATCGTGGCCTGCTATCAGCTATCAACTCATCCCTGCGCTGGGCGAGGAAGAAGTTGATTAGGCGGACGTTTAATGAGAGGTGCTCCATACCCAGGCTGGTTTTCCCGCGGAGATCGGACGGCCGATCTCGGCGGAAGACGCGCACTCGGAGCCAGATCTGACGACCGGATCCCTCGCAGGACGCGCTCGCTCGTCCCGTCTTATCAGTTTCCCGAGTTCCGGTGCTAGTCCCCCCCTTGCCCCCGGACCATGGACCCCGTCACGCTCGTCCCCGCGATAAGCAATCGTCGTTGACGCCCAGATAAGTAACATCCCCATTGATGGACGCTCGTGCGTCTAGCTATCAGCTCATATAGATTTACCCCGGACTCGCTAGCATGGATGCCAAGGCGGTAAAGATAATGAACAGTCGACCCATGAGGCCCATTAAAGGGATATATCCCTTCTCCTCGTGGCCGGGAGTCCTTGGGAAGAGGTTCCAACCCGGATTCTCTCTCGGGCCAGCCAACCATCATCTTCCAGAGCCCATCCCCTGCCCCTGGTCCAACCGTCAACATGGACGACAAGGATATCGAGAAGACCGAGGATGGCCTCAAGCCCACAAAGTCGTTTACCGCTGGGGAGGTCGAGCTCCTCGACGAGTCGGCGGCGTTCCTCCACGAGCACAACATCAGCGAGGAGTACCTCGCTGAGCTGGTGAACGACAAGGAGAGAAATCGGCGGCTGGTGCGCAAGATCGACCTGACGATCCTGCCCCTGCTCGCCGGCACCTACGTGCTGCAGTACATCGACAAGCAGGCGCTGTCGTACGCGGCCGTGTTCGATCTGTTCTCGACCACAGGCGTCAACCAGACGCAGTATTCATGGTTCGCGAGCATTTTCTACCTGGCCTACCTGGTGGCCGAGTACCCGTGGGTCTACGTCGCCCAGAAGACGCGCATGGGCAAGGTCGTGGCTGGGTGCGTCTTGTCGTGGGGATCCGTGTTGATGATCACGGCGGCATGCTCCAACTTTGCCGGGCTCGCCGCGTGCCGGTTCTTCCTCGGCGCTTTCGAGGCGCCCATCACGACCTGCTTCATGATGATGGTGTCCATGTGGTAAGTTGGAGCGGCATACGCGCGCGACTCGTGCAAGCGCAGAAGACGAGAATAGGAGACACGACTAACACGGGCCAGGTACATCCGCTCGGAACAACCCTTCCGGGCCGGCCTCTTCTACTGCTGCAACGGCGTGGGCTCCATGATCGGCGGCCTTCTCAGCTACGGCATCGGCCAGATCGACGGGTTCCCCGTGTGGAAGGCCGTCTTCCTGCTCTGCGGCGGCATCACCGTCCTCTGGGGCTGCCTGCTTTTGTATCTCCTGCCGGACAGCATCCTGGGCGCCAAGCGGTTCACGCTCGAGGAGAGGGCCCTGCTCGTCGGCCGCGCCCGGCTCGCCAAGACGGGCGTCCTCAACAAGACGATCAAGCTGTACCAGGTCAAGGAGGCGTTCCTCGACCCCCAGGTCTGGCTGCTGTTTCTCTTCGTCCTGCTGAACGAGGTCATCAATGGCGGCTTCGCCAACTTTGGCAAGCTCATCATCAAGGGCCTCGTCACGGACCCGCTACTCACGACGGCGCTGGGTATCCCCCAGGGCGCATTCCAGGTGTTTTGGATCCTCGGGGGCACCTACACGGCGTCGCGCTTCCGTGACATGCGCACGATTGTCATGGCCGTGTGGCTGATCCCCACGATCATCGGATGCGCCATGGTCTGGAAGCTCGACCGAGCGCACTACAAGGTCGGCGTGCTGATTGGGTACTACTTCATCGGCTCCTTCGTCGCATCGCTGGTGCTCGCGCTGCAGATGCCGGCGTCCAACGTCGGCGGCTACACGAAGCGCATCACCGCCTCGGCCATCGTCTTCACGGCCTACTGCGTCGGCAACGTCATCGGCCCGCACGCATTCCTGGCCAAAGAGGCGCCGCTGTACCAGACCGGTTGCAAGGTCATTCTGGCGTGCGCGGCCGCGCAGATGGCCATCGCCATCTCCCTGCGGATGCTGCTCATCCGCCGCAACAAGGCAAGGGACGCGGCGGCCGAGGCGACCGGCCGCTCCCCCGACGTCGAGCACGACGACGACGACGTAGACCTGACAGATATGGAGGTTAGTTACCCCGAGCGGAAAACGTGACTGAACGGTAACCACTAACACGCAAGCCAGAACCCCAACTTCCGTTACTTGTTGTAGGCGTTGGATGCGTCTCGTAAATGCACAGGTGTTTGGATACGATGATAGATGTCTTTTAATATACCATAACGCGACCACGTTTGATCAAGGATATGAGCCAGACGATTGTATGCGGAAATTGCTTGCCCGTTGTAAATGTGGTTTTCGGCAAGGAAGATCAAGTTGTTCACCAGGAATAAATATATCACGGAAGCACATATCGAGTCTTCAATCCCGCGGGCGTGGGTTTCACACCAAGAACAACCGCTGCACTTTGCGGCTTGCCGACTCGAACGCCCGCGATTGGCAAAGCACAAAACGAACAAGTTGGCGAAAATCGTTGTCATATTTGTTTCTTTTTGACGGTCCGGCTGCTGCACCTAGATATGTAAGACCCGTATCTGTACCATGACGAACACCTTAACCGCCACGGCTTTTTCAAGGCCTGCTGCATCAATCTGCGGCACGGAGGCTATCGAAGTAGCCCCAGAATCCTCGACCATGGAGACCATCGAGGGTGGCACGAGAATCCTTCGCTAGCCGGTGGGAGGGAAGCGTTTTTGTGAAGAGTAGAGGACATGCGAAAACGGTGTCGCGTCGGAGCGAGTTGGAGAGAGAGAGAGAGATAGAAGGGGGGTTGTCACTGGACTGTTGTTTTTGGGCTCTGTGCTTGTTCTTGTCTTTTTTTTCTTTTATCTCGAACGCGGAAAATCTTCATTTTGTTGGGTAGTCGTGAACCATTCCTATGCCATTTCCCTCTCCGCAGAGAGCCGGACGCCTCGAATTGGCGATATACCATGCAACCAACTCTAGATCCATGATGTTGAACCGACCGAACCGCAAAACGACTAGACCTGTTTGGGCCCAAGTCAGTCCCCGTCCGTTGTCCGACCGAGTGCAGACGACCCCATGTTCTCGAGCCGCAAATAAACTCCCGTGACGTACCATTCCTCCCCCGAGGTCGCAGCCTCAGCATTTATCGCTGGGCGGACCAGACGGACTTGACGAGGCCATCGCGCTGGGCCAGGCGGTTGAAGGCGTCGTCGGACTCGCCCATCGCGCGAACGAAGCCGGAGAGGGCGTAGACGTGGTTCTCGCCGGGGATGGCGCGGCCGTTCTCGTCAACCTTGGCGACGGAGATCTGGACGGAGGCGTGGTCCTTGGCCTTGATGATGCGGTTGGTGGCGCTGCACTTGCGCGGAACGTAGCTATTCAAGGGGGAAAAAATAAGTCAGTCAAACGTCCCCATATGCGTCGGAGTAGCAACAGCCCCCCTCTCCTAGCCGCGCCCGCGGGAAAAAAAAGAAGCTCTTTTGGTGATTTTTCTCGTGCGGCCAAGTTCGTGGGCGGTTCGAAGGGGGGTTTAGGGGGGAGACGGGTTGTTGCTCACAGATCGACGATCTCGCCCTTGTCGTTCTCCATTGCTGCGACTTGCGTTCGGGGTTGTCTAGAGGCAAGTAGGTGGTGGTTTTGCGCGGATGATGTCGTCGACGAGAGTTCGTGATGCGGGGAGTCGATATTCAAATCAAAGGGAAATTTTGGTGTGCGCGCCTGCGTCTGTGGGCGAGTGTGCTTCGGCCCGTTGAGCTGCCGAGCGACGGACCCACCCTGTAACTCAGGGCTAGGGGTCACGTGGCTTTGGATGAGCTCGTGCATGTGGCTGGTAGAGACGGGATGTGGCTGGTGGTATACGTACGTACTCTGACCTTCCGAGAGCCCCGCCCCGCCGCGTTCCTTCGGTCGCTCTCCCGCAGCGCAGCGCGTTTGTGCTTTGTTGATGTTGAACTCGACTCGGCGTCCCCGTGAAAAGCAGCTGAGAAGGACCGTTATCGCCACCCGAGTCCCCAGTTCGACACATCCCGTCACCGAATCAGTGCCATCGATGCCATTTCCACTCCGCTGAGCTGGTTCGTCTTCTTGCGCTTGCATTATACGTCACCCTGTTGCGCATCATACCGAAATCATGCGCCCTGCGCATTCCAGCGGGTTTCCCGAGATTCACGATGGGGTCTCCATTTCGAAGCACCCGTTATGACACCGACAACCTTTCCTCTTCTCCAGGGCTACCATCCCTAGACCAGCTCAAGTCTCAATTCTCCAGAAGCCCCCCAAGTCGAAGCGGATATGAAGCCATGCCAGTGCCCGACCAAGCGAGCCGTCACTTTACCGGCGCCTCAGGCTTTCTCCCCCAGGAACAATCTGCGATCGACCTTACGACGCCCTGCAGGGAAGCTGTTGATCCTCCCCCAATACAACAGGACGAGGATGTGACGGTCATATCGATTGCGACCCTGGCTTCGAAGCCGAAACGAAAACGAGGCGCCAAAGTCTTAGAGAAGAAGGCGAACGAACCGCCAGCAAATCCCACCAGAGACGTCGAAACCAGCCCGCCATGGAAGAAGTACGCAAAGGCCAAAGCCGCAACCGATAAACCGGGCAAGAAGCCAAAAACAACAAGAGCCAAGGCCCCGACAAAGAAGAGCGCCGTCAAGAGTCATCACTTTGCAAAGCCCATAGCTGGGGAAGAACCAGAAGCCCAGCCACCACCACCCAAGAAAGACGTAGATGAGCCATTGGAATTGGAAGCGGCTTCGAAGCGTCGCATAGAATGGACACCGCCGCCGGCTGATAGCGCACTGATTATGGGATCCGAGTCTTCGCAGGCCATTGAGCTGATCTCCTCGGCTGCAAGAAGCCCGAGTCGTGCAGCATCGAAGGAGACATTCGAGAATCTCCTCAAGAGATGCGGCCGGCCGGATGAGGACGCACCACAGAGGCCATCTGATAAACCGTCCGATGGGGATAACCCGGCATTCAAAAAGAGGAAGCTGATTGAGCTGGTATCCGTCAGTGATTCGTCCAAGATGGCGCCGCCAGCAAAGGTCCCTGCGAAGGCAAAAGCGCCTAGGAAGAAGCCGCGCACAATTACCGAGCTGGCAACAGCAGCCTACCTGGTCCCAGATGCTACCGAACAGGAAATTGTCCCGGCGCCTACAGGGGAAACGCTCGTGAACGAGGACGAGGCAGCGAAGCCGAAGGGGAAGAAACGGGCACCACGGGCGAAGAAGCCGAAGAAGGCCCTTCCGCCAGAGCCCGTCCTACTGTCTCCGACCGCGGCGTTGCGGCAAGCCGCAAACCAGGACTACGTCTTCGGGACCTCGAGCCAATTGGCACGAGAACACTCGCCGACATTCCTCAGAGATCTCCAATCCGCGTTACAGGCGTCGAACTCGCTGAGAGAGGACCCGTTCGTGACACCGATCAATAGCGACTCCATCGAACCCGAATCTAGGCAGAAGCTCTGGGATGTTGGAGCAAGGGATGAAGATGGAAGGCTGCTAGACCTGGAAGTCATCAATCTCGTCGATACTCCCCAGCCACTCCCAGGCGTAGAAGCTGGACTCAACCCCTTTGGGTACGCAGGCGTCGAGAACCAAACAGCAGCGCTGCCGGCTCATATCCCGTCAGATGCGTCTTTTCCCGACATCGACGACCTCTTAAGCAAGGCTCCCGCCGGCAGCGCTCCCATCGAGCAGAGACAGGCGGCCACATTGCCAGTTCCCATACCCTCTGATGTCTCATTCCCGGACATTGACGATCTCCTGGGCAATGAGACAGGTGGTGACGTGTCCAGGACGCAGAAAGAGGCGTCGCCTTTCATTTCAACTGGTCGGCCAACAGAACGCGAATTGGAGGGCGATTCGACGGTGTTGATTTCGTCTGGCTCTATGCCGCCTACGGAAGCAGTTCCTGACCTGCCGCCTGCTCAACTCTCATCGGTGTCAGAAGCCGAAGCAGAAGTACCCGAGCCGACCGCAGTACCGAAACCTGTAGCGGAGATTCCGAAACCAAAGTTTGACCTTTACACAGACAACCAGCTTGCCAGGGAGATTGCATCTTATGGATTCAAGCCGGTCAAGCGACGGCAGGCCATGCTCGCCCTCCTGGACCAGTGCTGGACGAGTAAGCAGAGGACGGCCCTCGCTTCGCTTCCCACGAACCACCCGATCTCGACGACCTCCCAGGCGCAAGCCGCTGCTCCGAAATCGTCGAGGCCGGTGGTAAACACATCGCCTAAACGGCCACGAGGCCGTCCCAGGAAAACCAGTGAGGTCGAGATGCCGTCCAGTGAGCCGCCACCGTCAGCTCAACCTCCCCCGCCGTCGCCCAAACGGGGTCGCGGGCGTCCTAAGAAGAACGCAGCGCCAGTGAAGGCCACGGGTTCGACGTCGACAACGGCCAAGAAGGGCAAGGCTAAAGCAAGCACCTCGGCACCAGCGGATCTCAAAGTGGCTTCGCCGGCGCCATCCTCACGCGTAAAAAAGGCCAAGGCATCGGTTGTCATTGAGATCCCAGACTCGGCATCGGACGGCTCGCTTTCACCGTCGCCATCCGCAGGCTCGTCGCCCGAGCCCACGTTTTCGCCGCCTCCCGAGGAGGTATCGGTGTCCATCGGCGACGACACGGAAATTTCACTGGCTGCATCGCCGCCAACCAGCCAGTCAGCTGTCCTGTTTGCGCGGATCACGGAAGCGGTGATGTCGGCGCCGCCGACGACGGACCCGAAGAAGCCGTCTTTCCACGAGATGATGTTGATGTATGATCCGATCGTGCTCGAGGACTTCGCCGCCTGGCTGAACACGGGCCAGCTTTCCAGGGTTGGTTACGACGGCGAGGTGTCGCCGAACGAAGTGAAGCAATGGTGCGAGTCCAAGAGCGTGTGCTGCCTATGGCGCGAGAGTCTGAGGGGAAAGGAGCGGAAGAGATATTGATTCGGAGTCTAGTGTGCAGTAACGATACCCCATTGAACATTATTTAGGCGCCGTGTTTCGGTTGTAGGCTTCGCTTGGAATGGGGATCCGACGTTGGGTGAGATGAGATCTCACTCAGTCTTACATCGCGACGGATAGAGCAGGTTTTATTTATTACATACATAGGCATAAAAATCGCTTTTTCCTCACTTACAATGGTTGAACTCAGGCGTTTCTTTTCGTGACTGGCTCAAGAGAAAACAATATGATGTTGGTAGATGCGTGGCACATTTGGGGCGATACGAGTGACACAGGGCGCACACTCACACCACACCACACCACACACACGCAGACAATGAGCCTCGGCAAAAAGCCAGACGCCAGACGCCAGACGCCAGACGCCAGACGCCAAACGCCCCCGCCGGCTCGCTCACCTTGTTCTTGTCCCGGAACTTAGACACTTCACCGACACGACCCCAGGCCCTGATGAGTTTGCCATTTCGCCCTCGCAGCCTCCGTTTCCCGGGCACATCGTTGATACGTCCATCACGGTTCGATTGCCACCCAATTGCAACGCGGATCCCGGGCAGGGGTCTAAGCTCAAACACGTCACTCATAGCAACAACGCTCGCCTCAAGCATCCCGGGAATAGGACCAAGACCAGGAACACCTCGCCGATACGCCAGCGCACCCATCACCATCATGTCTCAGCAGCGCTCGTCGTCTTCGTCGCCGCCGAAGCGTGAGAAGGAGGTTACGGAGCCTCGGCCCAGCGCTAGGTAAGCGACCCCCCACGAGGCCAGGCCATGACATGACATGACATAACATAACATGGACACGGACATGGACATGGCATGATGCATCGTGTCGCCGCGTCCTTGGCTCACCAATAACGTAGCATCCTGCTCCTCTCACCGACGAACCAGGTACTCCTGCTGCAGCGGGTGAAGACATCGACGTCCTTTGCGTCGGCGCATGTGTTTCCGGGCGGGAATCTGGACGCCTTCCACGATGGGGAGATCCCGCCCAACAACGCGCGCGAAAGGCATGAGGACGGCCATGCCTACCGGCTGGGTGCCATCCGTGAGTGCTTCGAGGAGACCGGCATCCTCCTCGCCACGAAGAAGAACTCGAACGACAGGTCTACGCTCATCAACGTCTCCGCCGCAGACAGGGACAGAGCCCGGAAGCTGATCTACGGGGGCAAGGTGCGCTTCGGCGACTGGGTCGACAGCGTGGGCGGCGTCCCGGACACCGGTATGTTAACGCAGCGCGCGCGAACCCGGCGTGTTCGGCCGCACGTCGCCTCATGACATTGGGTCCCCGTCTCGCTCACACACTCACCCGCCGCAGGACGCCTGATCCCCTTCACGAGATGGGTGACGCCCACCAACGTGCCCAAGCGCTTCACGACGCAGATGTACATCTACATGCTGCCGTCCTCGGCGGGCACGGGCGTCTCGGCTCTGGAGAACGAGATCATCGTGCCGACCCCGGATGGCGGCGTCGAGCACACGGCCGCCAAGTTCGACGACGCCTCGACCTGGCTCTACCGCGCCGACAAGGGCGAGATCATCCTGTTCCCACCGCAGTACTACCTCCTGCACCTCGTCTCGCAGTTCTGCAAGGCCGCCGCGCCGTCGTCAGCGCCCGGCCGGGGCCACGGGGACGACTATTTCGCCTCGCAACGCAGTGGGCTGCTGGACTTCCTCGAGAGCGTGCCCACCACGGCAGTGACCGGATCGTCGTCATTTGCGGCGCGGAGGCACCCCACCTCGGAGATCCCGTGGGCGCACAAGGCCATGAGCCCGCACAACTTGTTCATCCGCGAGGGGGACGGCCGCGTCGTGCTCGGGCTCGACAAACCGGGTCCAGAGCTCAAGGGGTCGGGCCGCGGCGGCGACTGGGAGCGGGTCGTGCTGGTCAAGTTCACGAGGGACGGGCCGCGCAAGGTCGAGGTGAGAGGTCGCGAGGAGGTGTTGAGGGAGGAGAAGGAGACCAAGAGGGAGAGGGAGGCGGAGCACAAGCTGTAAAACGGGAGCGTTCGACCCTGGAGGACGGACGGGCCTAAACGGTCAGCAAGGATTCAAAACTTTAATAAGCTACCGGTTCGCATAAGAGCTCGGAATGGAACACCTTTCGCACGAAACATCATTTGACGATGAACATTTTGGAGGCAACAACGCGCCGCCCTCTCCCGGTTCTGGGTGCGGCACCCGATCACCCAGCACTCCGGCCCCCAGTTTTGCACTTTTCTCCCACCATAACCATAGTCAAAATGAACTGCACGATTAGCAGATGAGATCTGATGAATGACGAGCATGGAAACCCCCCTAAAAAAAAAAAAACTCCGTTGCAGAAACACGAAGGAAGGCGCAGCAGCGTTGCGTGCAGCAGCGTGCTCAGTTGAGAACCAAACCACACCCCTCCCTCCCTCTCTGAGACCCAGCTCGATGGCACTACACAGCAGTAGTAGCCCCAAAAGACCGAGGGAAGGGTCGGGGGCATTCGATCCTCCCCGAAAAGCCCGCTGGTCAAACGCGCAGAGCCGCAAAGAACCTTGGAGAGGAGATGGTGGGCTCTGATGGGGGGAGGCATCACTTCCCCACCACCACGAGGGATGCAGATGTACCGTGGAACGACACTGTTGGATCAGAATCGCTTCTGGTCTCAGCGTTTCCGACGACTACTGGTCGCCCTCATGCGGCCGGCCACCTCGCTGTCATCCCCCCTCCTCCCCTCTTCTCGGCACCCAACGGAGGTAGACACAACCTCTACCCCTCCTGAGACTAAACCCTGTCCGTATTGACGGCACGGCGGATATGCTATTGGTCCGAGATATAATATATGATCTGATGGCTAATGGTAATGAGGGAGAAGCTATGCCTCGTACCCCCTCGTGGTTGGCCCGTTAGATCTGACGGACGAACGAACGTTGTGTGGCGTCAAGACACGGTCCAGGAGTTTGCGATAGCAGAGGCTAAACGAGGACGATGGCCAGGCCAACTTGTACTTCTTCTCTTGCTGGCCCAATCCTCTCTTCGCTCCCCCACGTGCCAGGATGCAACGCTGATACGTCGTCAACCACACCGTCTCTATCTGATCTTCTCCTGACTGGCCGTACGTACGAACGTTGAGGCTCTGCCAGGGGGTTGACGATATCCCTTTGTCCGTATCATCCGGGCTTGGCTTCACTCCCCCTGATCCCCGCCCTCTGCAGTCTCCGTCTTCGTTGTCACCTTCGTGGCCGTCAACCCGCGGCCGACATCTTGTGGCTTTCTCCCCCCCTTCCCTCCACCTCTCCTTTCTATACACGTATACCTACTCATACGTGGCATCGAAATAGACTATCGTCCTCGTTTCATTAGAAGCGTGGGTCCCGTGGACGAAGATCGAATGGTTATGACGTCTCCCGCGCGGCGGGAGGACGGAACTTTCTGTGATGATTTGCTGGAAGACCTCATCTGACTCTCCCTCTATTTATCGGGATATGGTAGGCTGAGCAAATAGGCTCGTCCGCCGTCGACCCTTGCCCGAGATCTCTCACAATAGCCAGGCATGGCGGACTCCGTGAATCTTGCACGGCGCCACCTCAGATTCGTCTCTCATCTCCACGTCTTTGAAGATGCAGGACTACGAAGACGCTAGATTTCATTCAAGAACCCCGGGTCAAGTCATATGAAACCTAGATCATGGAGATGATGAGCACTCTGCAGATCCGCCGCCCATCCATCAAGGATGACGAAACCCTCGATGCCCTCATATGCCGGTGGGCTTTACCCCTCCTTCTCCCCCCCCCGGCGCGCTCGCTTGCACGAGATAGATACCACAGCTGCTCTCTTTTCTTTTTCGTCCGGGGGCTTTCGGCGACTCCCAGCTTCCCTATAGGGCTAACCCACGGCGACGTGTACCACAAGTCAGATACCGTATACCTGCACGCCATCCGCCCATTGCCCTCGGCAAGTTGCGATTGCAGAGGAGAGTCACCTCCGGGGGGTACATCCACCACAACGGAAATCGCTCCCTGATTCATACACAGATGGCCACTGATTGGGCGATTCGGATGCTGTTGGACGTGGCTGCAGCATGCACGGAGGTACATGGATGTGCACACAAAGGGCATCGAAGTACCAACAAGGTGGGTCTCCTTTCTGAATGAAGACATGCGGCCGAATCTGCTGTGCCAGATGGAGAGAGGACATGCATGACTGATGTGGGAAAGGTAAGGGAACTGGGGGAGGGGGCGACGTAAGGACCCAGGGAGGGGACGATATGGGGCCCCAAAGTTGCAGTGAAGGGGTATCGGGGCTGAAGAAAGATGGGTTGTCGTTGTCGGTGAGAGGCACAGCGTACGAAACCCATGTTTCCCGTACCCGCGTCGGCACCCATCGGTCCCGTCATCGTGCCGCCCCATGGCGTCTACCCGCAGCACTCCATGAAGCAACGGGAGGAGAAGGGGTCCGTTGGTCGACCAACTACGATACGGCTGATGGACGAGTGATGGGAGTAAAAGAAGCGCTTGTCAGCTTCGAGACAACCAAAAAGCCCCAAGGGCATTGTTTGAGTGTTGGTGGTTGGCTGGTTGATCTGTCTCACCCCGGCTCCAGAGAGGTTGAAGTCGGTAGAGCCCGTCTGGTTGTGGACCTGCCGTCGGTGCTCACTGGCCTGCGTTCCGGCCGCCGCGAAGGGGAGGGGGGAAAGACGGGGAACGGGGTGTTCTTATTTGCTGTGAAGGTTGGACAACCCACGTCGCTCTGCGGAGGGGACCAGGTGACCCCACGCACCAGAGATATACCAATCGAGAATCGGGCCCTTTAGCCGTCCGATGCATGGCATTTGGAATCGTTCTGTTGAATTAGACTGGGGGAAAGACAAGACAGAAATCTGCGTCTCTATCCGGGCTACGTTATGGGCGAAAAGGAGGAAAAAAACATAAATACCCCCCTCTGAGATCTCCGTGAAGGGGCAGAAACTCGTGTTCCTAGTTACCCGAAGCTGGACTTCTCCCGGATACCCCAGCAAGCATATCGTGTACTTCCACATTCACCCCACGTTTACCCACAAACAACACACAAGGGCCAGGTGCCTCGGGTCCAACCAAGCAAACTGAGCCTAATCAACGACAGCGACAATGTCTAGGTGAGTAGACAGATCCCGGTGACTCTGATCCCTCCGATGTGTGATCAGCAGCTCACGATGGGATACCACAGTCCTGCCCCACCCCCTGGGAGTCCAAACCCGCCGCTTGAGATCTTCATCAATGACACGACCAACCTGCCCGATAGGCTGGTTGCTATTGCAAGCTCAGGCACTACAACGACATGAAGTGGACGCAGCATTGGTGCACACGAGGAGAGACAAGAAACACGGATTGGTCTCCTCGGATGGTAGTCAGAGGACAGCAGGGAGCAACATGAATTCTTCTGATACCCTTTTCTTGACGTTTTGGTCTGTTTTGCTCTTGACCAGGTGGGGGATATTTGTGACTTCTACACTTCCCGCACCCAAGAGGTTGGGTGACAAGGAGACTAGGAATTGGCCCAGTACTGTTCTTCTCTTTTTTTTACAGATACATATTAAGTCACTCTTTACAAATGCAGACATCTAATATCATCCTTCTTACTGCATCGTCGTATGGGCTTCCGATAACGAAAAGAATGGCCGGTATAGGTATAGGTGAGCCTGATGGTCATTGGCAAAAGGAAAATAAAAGGTGTGATGACAAAAGCGGATCCGTAATTGCCATTGCGCATTTACGGCCTATATCACGACAAAAGGGTATGTAGTTGTAAAGAACAGACATATGGTTATCAGGAGACATTTTGGTTTCTACATTGCGAAATGAAGCTCGTAACAACGCAACAAATGTACAGGCTGGCAGGAAGAAGGTTTCCCGTCTCAAAAAACATGCCCCAACTCGGCAAAGAGACGTATCGACGTATTCCAGAGTCTCAAATGTTTGATTAAATAATATAGCTCAGGCCCGTCTGGCAACGAAAGGTAAAAGTAACTTACTAGATGGACAAACAGAGAATGAGGAAAGGTTGAAAGTAGACAGAACCGGGGGACACAAAGTCTTCTGGAAATTCACTAGCCTCCACCACCACCGCAGCCTCCACCACCACCGCAGCCTCCACCACCACCGCAGCCTCCACCACCACCGCAGCCTCCACCAACTCCTCCGCACCCTCCGTAGACTCCCATGCCTACAGCAGAGCAAGCTGCAGGACGCTTTTGTTAGGGCTCGATGAGAGAAATCTAGAACAGGGTGACACTTACCAGACATTCCCCGAGCAGGGCCGGATCAGGTTCCCTATCATGAAGATCAGCCAAAGCACGGAAGGAAGCCAGAGCACACTCGGACTCACCTTCGTATTCGTGCACCCGCCAGGGCCGCCACAGCCCCCAGCTGCAATGTCATTTGGACCAACCACTCCCTGGGCACATGATGCCCAGGACCCGTTCAGGACGCTAGGGTCGCCGGCCACGTAGATGTCCTTCGTGAAGTACGCCGGGCTCGAGACCGGGGCGTACTGAAAGTACGTCTTGCCCCAATGGTTGTAGAACTCCTCCTTGGGCGGCAGCTTCTTGCCTCGCTTGGCGGCCCGCTTGACGGCCCGCTCGTAGCCGTCGTCGAGGCGAGAGGCCCAGGCGGCCCGCTGGAAGCCGCGGGCCCTGTTGAGGGGCGACGACGCGTCCGCGTGGCAGGCGTTGTGCGCGGAGACGTGGGCCGAGGACGAGGAGTCGCAGGCGGCCGCGGCCGGGGACATGTTGAAGCTGTCGATGGCTAGGGGGATCACGGTGTCAGCGAATCTGGAAGTATCTGCAGCACCAAAGCTGTTATAGAAACGTCATCTCATTCGTACCTTTCTGTTCCTTGGTCCTTCCGAAGATGGATGTGCTGTTAATCACGGAGTTGACGCGGAGGGCTGATAGGACATGTCAGCGATGTTTGGCTACGTCAAGACTCCCATTGAGGAGGGGCTCGCACGACGGACCTTCGCAATACCAACAGGTACACTCGGAGTACACTTCGCCAAACGTTTTGAGGTACATCCTGCACGTCCACTCAAACGAGTTGGAGAGCTGGTCCTCGTCCACCTTGTCGTTGTGGTCGATGAACCTGGCCTGCTTGTTGCCATTGGTTGCGCTGTTGTGCGTGGAATACTTGTAGTACGCCCTGGGCGCCAGCTGGTGGGTGTGCCACGCAAGGTCGACGTCAAGGGTCGGCACGCACATCGTGAGGGGGTTCTTGGTCATGATCAGCATGAAGCGGTGGTACTTTTGTACCAGGCGGTCCATAGTGCCCCGGACGTTGGGACTGTGCAGCCAGTCGATCTGGGCGGGGAGTCTCATCAGTTTGAGAAGTTCATATTGGCCGTTTGGGGGGGGGGGGGGGGAAGGCGCGTCACGAGAAGCTCACCGAGTACATCTTGCCGATGAACACCCCCTGGCGCATGGTTGCGGCAACGAGATCCAGAGCGAAGATGGAATGGTTTTCCCAATATCTTGCCATCATCTTGGCGGTCTGGAACTTTTCCGTCCGGGTCAACCCCTTGACCGCTGCAACATCACTCCTTCCCACCTTGGCAAGCTTCTCCTTCTGTATTATGGCGAACGACTCTTGATCCGACAACGCCTCAGAGATCAGGTCCCGGACGTCCTGCATAGTATGAGTCTTTTGCTGGCCTGGTTGGATCAGATTGATCAGCTGTCCGGAGATGCCGTGGCCCACGAGCCTGTTCGGAAAGGTCACATCTAGAAGATGTTCCTCGTTGGCGACTGGCATGCCAGTCTTTGGCTCGAGGACGGTGCTGGGAATGGTGATGCCATAGTTGAGGTACCATTCCGCGTCGTCAATCATCTTGGCCACGGAAAGGAGGCGTTGAGTGATGAGGCTGCCGCAGCCGGGCTCACAGTGCTGAGAGAAATCTCCATCTCCGTACCCGTGTCCGACTAGACCCGGTCGTCTAATTCCCAGGCCTGCGTCAGTACGCTGATGCAAATGGAACGGTCTACACCGAACACTACTTACGCGTCGCCCTTGTATCTCTCCGGCAAGCCGCATGTGGTCCAAGGGACTTCGATGGTTCGCTTACATGCTGGACACTCGAGGAACTTCACCATTGGTTCCTCGAGGTTGTCCCATGGTCTACCCGTCTTTTGTTCCCAGTTGGATTTGGCGGAGCTTGGAACTTTATGATCGAACTTGGAGGTGATTACCTGGTTGACTTGGGCCCAGGGCATGCCTGTCGTCCAGAAAGACCGAAGACCCCAACGCATGGTGTCCTCGAGAAAAGCCCTTGGGTTGAGCATGTGCGAGTGCCAAACCATGAGTACGTCTGATACCGTCAGCTTCTACAACGCGTTCGTGGCTCTCGAATTTGGTCGCTTACCCAGAGGCGGTAGATTATCAACGTCCCAGGGATAGTCCTTGCGCCCATCGGGGAACTTTACATACTTCCCAGGGAACTTGTCAACGTTTCTCATCTCTGGCTCGCGAAGACGACCTTCCGAGAGTGTCTTCCACCAGGTCTCGTAACGGTCGACAGCCCGCGCCAAGTAGACGGCCCACCGCTTCTCGCGAATCATGGCCAAAGTCTTCTTCGCACGGTCCTCAGAGTCTTTGCTTGAACCGCTTTGCTCCTCGGCTTCAGAACCAGGGAGAGGCCCCGCGCGGACATCCCACAAGTCCCAGAGGCCATCGGTGTAGCCGACCTCGTCCTTCAGCGTCTGGATGGCGTACAGGAGCTTCAGGTGCGCGAGGCAGGAGTCTACATCCGGGCCCCTCTGGGTACCTAGTCTGAGAAAGCTGAACGTGGCCCTGATGTCGGCAACATCCGCTTCGGTGTGCGGCCTCCTCCCGTCGGTGTGCGGCCTCCTCCCGTCGGTGCCGCCATTGGCTTCGAACGGCAGCGGCGGCTGGTGTCCGAATGGCGGGTGTTCTTTCTGCGTGGCTTCGTACGTTGGCGGAGGTGTGGCGGGACGCTCTGCATTTGCATTCTCCTCTGTCTCCATCTCTTTCGCCTTGGACCTCTTGAAAAAGGAGGGCACTGCTATGGCTCAGGGTCGATAGCAATAAGATGGTGGTGTTGATCAGGGGCAAATGCCCGGTGTTGAGGAATGCGGGGTAGAGAGCTTCGTGAAATAGATAATAAGGACACAGGATATAACAAACCAGTGTTTTTGCAACGGCGCGAGCAATGCCTGAGAATCTAGAAAGAAGAGGCATGAACAGAGACAGTATTTGTATAAAGAGACCACTGGATTCAGTAAGGCTTGGAACCGGTAGATAGAGAGAACTCTTGGGCCGCCCTGCAGCCTGCCTTACTTTACATCGGGTGAGGTGATCACAGGCTCAACTGCATATCCCCAGAGCGTTTAGGCATCCATATGGGCAATCTAAAGTGGAAGTTCTTGGTATGCTATTTTCGCAGTGGCGCAGTCCTCAGACCTGAACTTCCTGGCCCAGAACGCCATCAAAAGCTTCAATGGACGTACAAGACGATCTATTCGGGCGAAGGGGCGCTTCCATTAACACATAGACTATGTCTAAATGGGTTAGTACAGTTAAGCTAGACATGGGTTACAGTGCTTATAATGTGGCTCAGTAGATTACGCAGTACGCTGTGGTCATCCTACGGATACTCATCCAACAACGACTTTTGTGGCTGCCCATCTTTACCCGCCTGGTCTTCGTCGCGTCGATCTATCTCCTCAAACAACACTTTAGTGCCAGCTATCATCATAACGCCGCAACCGGGTGCCACAAAACGGCTCCTACCTAGGACCGTACTAACGAGAGAATTTTCGGAAATGTGTATGGGCTGGTTGTTCGTCATCAAACAGCTTCGCAAACGAATCAAGCCTCTACACGAACTAGGCAGACAATTTTCCACCGTTTTACATAAGCTGTGCGACTTTGTTGCCGGTTAGAGATGTTCTGGGTTACTGGTCCGGCTTCCAGTAGTCGCGTAGCCCTAGCATAGCGGCCTTTCTTCAACTCAGCAGTTCTGCTGCCACCACGACCCCTTGACAATCGTCCATCGACTGCTGCGATCTAATCCTCATGAGCTGTGCCCGTAATGTATTAGATACGGTGCCCCGGCACTCAGCTGCGGATTAATCTGTTTATCTCATCCGCTTGTTCCATCATTTCTGGCTGCCAGAGACACCTGGGGGTCGTTCCTCTGTCCGTTGATCCTATGCCTACCAATTCATCATGTGCAAGCATCGAGGGGCGCACTACATACTTGCCACTATGTTTGTAATTTTGCGGGACAGTGACAGTGCTTTAATCCGGAACACGCACACAAAATAACTTCTAAACCGCAGCTTATGGTCGAATGATTCTGATCCGGTCTTGTAGTTCCTGAGAAAGACTTTCTTGATAGTCGAGCACATCTTCCCAGTTCTTCTTGACCACGCCGAATACATCATGGTTGTTCAATGGTGTAAGCGCATCTAGCTCGAGGCTGTGCAGATCCTTTGACATTTCCTCAATCCATTTAGACCATGATTTCAAAATTGTGCTATTGCTCAGTTGTGTGTTGGGCAGACGGGCTATCTGCGACTTGGTAGTCAGTGATAGCTGTCGCAGAATGGCAGTGGGCAGACTTAAAATGCGTGGCCTTACTTTCAATGAGAAATGGTCGAGAACTGACATCCAGGCTTGCGCCCATTTCTCGATGACCTGGTAGATGATGGACTGAAATACGGTGACTCCTGTGAGCTCGCCGCAGAGATCGGCTAGTTGGCTTTGCTGTAGACAATCTCCAACCACGGTTCCGTCCAGGAGTTTTGGACAGTCCGCGAGTGTGACTAAAGTGTAGCATAGAGTGACCAAACGCAAGGATGTAGTTATGGCGATCGAAACTCGTTCTTCAATGATGTACTGATTTTTGAACCCAGGATACTCAGGA